CGCCAGAGATGACGCCCCAGCCAGAACTTCTCACGCAAATTTCGGAGGTAAGCGGCATGGCATCGTGGCGGAGAAATGACTGTGATATATAATGCTTTCATTTCCTTGTTACTGTTGGTATTAATTTTGTTGTTGGTGATGGTGTTGTGGGTTTTGTTGTTGTTGTTATTGTTGTTGTTATTTTTGTTGTTGTTATTATTATTAACATGGATTTTTTATTTGGTTATAACTATAGAGCTGTTGTTGTTAATGGTATTGTTGTTTTGTTGCCAAAGCTGTTGTCGCTGTTATTGTTATCATTATTATCGTTATGATTCCATATTCAGTTCCCCTCGTTAGAAGAAGAAGAAGGAAAAGGTATATAGTAATTTATTATCATTTACGAGAGGTTTAAACAATACCCCTCCCCCCCAAAAAAATAATGATAATAAATAAATAAATAACACACACACACACACACACACACACACACACACAGACACACACACACACACACACACACACACACACACACACACACACACACACACACACACACACACACACACACACACACACACACACACACAAGCTCACACAGAAGCACACACACAAGCATACAAGCACGCACACACACATAATAATAATAGTAATAATAATAATAATAACAATGCTCCTAAAATAATAGATAAAAATAAAATAAAATCGGCGACCAAAATCCTGTGATAACGAGACTGCAATGAAAAGTATGACATGCAGATCGCAACAATAGGATTACCGTGGGACTCGCAGGGTATTGACAAGGGGGGGGGGGTTCTGCTGGGAATGGCATTGCATAATCTCGCGTATTTGGGTTGTTTAGAGCGATACTTAAAGGGGTGGTGCAGGAAGGGATTTTCTTTGGTTTTATTTATTTTTCTTCTTCTTTTGCGTGTTTTGTTGTTGTTGTTGTTGTTATATATATATATTTATATGTTTATTTTTATTCAATGATTTTTTGTGTTTTAATTCTTGTGGGGTTGTGAAAGTCATAGTAGTAGCGGTAGTAGTAGCGTAGCAATGCAGTAAGGCATTAGTGGTGGTAGTTGTAGTTGTAGTAATAGTAGTAGTAGTAGTAGTAGTAGCAGTAGTAGTAATGATAGTAGTAATAGTAGTAGTAGTAGTAGTAGTAGCAGTAGTAGTAATGATAGTAGTAATAGTAGTAGTAGTAGTACTAGCAGTAGTAGTAATGATAGTAGTAATAGTAGTAGTAGTAGTAGCAGAAGTAGTAATAATAGTAGTAGTAGTAGTAGTAATAGTAGCAGTTGTAGCAGTAGTAGTAGAAGTTGTTATCATGTAGTAGTAGAAGTATTTGTTGCAGTTGCAGTAGTAGTATCATTAGCAGAAGTATAGTTATCTTTAACAGTAATAGCAGTAATAATAGCAACAACAGAAGTATAGATGTCCGTAGAAATTGTCATAAACGTTAGTGTGTGTCGAGACTCATGAACGCCTTGCATGATACACATGTTTTGAAGATGATTTGAAGATGTGCTGTGTAAGTATTTCGGATAAAAAGTCGGCCAGATAGAAATGGGTAGGATCATCACCCTCTGCTACCCCTCTCTTTTATTCCTTCTTCTTCTTCCCATGTCTCATTCTCACTCTTTCCTTCCCCCACCTTCTCTCCCTCCTCCCTTCCTTCCCTTCCCATTCTCTTCTCCTCCCTTCCACCCCCCCCCATCCCTCCATTCCTCCCTTCCCCACCCTCTCCCCTTCCTCCCTTCTCCTCCCTCCCCCTTTTCCTCCTCCTCCTCTTCTTCTTCTTCTTCTTCTTCTTCTTCTTCTTCTTCTTCTTCTTCTTCTTCTTCTTCTTCTTCTTCTTCTTCTTCTTCTTCCTCCTCCTCCTCCTCCCCAATTCAAAGAACAAGAATCCAACAGAAAATAGATAGTTAACATTTTTCTTCTTTTCTTTTCTATTGGAAGAGAAATTTGCTGGAAAGAGTAGGTTTAAATCCTCATTATTTCGGTCACGGTAAAGAAAAGTAAGGGAGAGGGGGAGGGGAAGGGGGTGGAGAGGAGAGGGGGAGAGAGAAGAGAGAGGGGGAGATGGGGAGGGGAGAGGAGGAGTGGAGAGAAGAAGGGAGAGAGGGGAGAGGGGGAGGGGAGAGAGAGCAGGGAGAGGGGAGGGGGAGGGTATAGGTAAGGGGAAGGGAGGGGGAGGGGGATAGGGCGAGGGGGGAGGAGGAACGGAATGAACAGAACAGATGAAGGGTGAAAAAAGAATGTTCTACGTCACTCAACACAGATTTCACTCGTGTTATGCTTTCTAGAGGAACGGTTGAAAAATGGAAGCCTCGTTACGTGTAGGTTACACAGACAGACTCACACGATCACGCACGTACACACGCTTACACACGCTAAGAGGAGGAGGAGAGAGAGAGAGAGAGAGAGAGAGAGAGAGAGAGAGAGAGAGAGAGAGAGAGAGAGAGAGAGAGAGAGAGAGAGAGAGAGAGAGAGAGAGAAAGGGAGAGAGAGGGGGGGAAGAAAGAGAGAACGAGAAGAGAGAGAGAGAGACAGACAGACACAGACACAGACAGAAAGACAGACAGACAGAGGTAGAAAGAGAGAGAAGAGAAAAAAGGACACACAAATAAACACAGACAAACTGACACAGGCACAGATCAGACACACGTGCACCCACATCACCCACAAACAGCTGTCGATTTCCGCCATTTTTTTGAGATAGTGAAACGCCTAACCTAACCTGATAACGGCTTCGTGTCAGCTTCCATAATTCCTTTTCAAAATTGTCGTAAATTAGCTTTAACGTCGGAGAAATAAACCGAAAGTATGTCAAGGGGGGAATATTTTTTTTCAATCTATTAATGTGTATAGAGTTTGGGAAATACTTTACTTGGTTGTATAGACCATTATTATTATTATTATTATTATTATTATTATTATTATTATTTTATTATTAATAGTAGTAGTAGTAGTAGTAGTATCAGCATAATTATTCATCATTTTTAATAATATATTTTATAATATATTTTTTCATCTTAATATATTTCTTAATAATATATTTCATAATAATACATTCTTTTCTTCTGTCAACACATAAGACACATGAACCGTTTCCGATATGTTTCGTTTACCTCTTTTTTCGCCTGCCTTGTTCTTTAATCAATAGTCACAACATGATACGCAGAATGAACGACGTCTTCTGCGAACAAGCGAAAGTGAAGATTAGTGATTTCCCGTTGTTAGTTTCTCTCTCTTGTAATTGGGTCGTTCAGTAGTTCATTGCGCTTGTTCCACTTAACCTCGTCTGACCTCTGCGCTTTTGTCTTCGCGGTGTCTAAAAACGAGAATGTGGAATTTTTTCTCTTGTGATTTTTATGTTTTTTTTTGTTGTTGGTGGTGGTGGTGTTTGTTAGTTTGTTTGCTTTTTTGGGGGGTTTGGTTTGTAGGATGGTTCTTTGTGTGTGTGTGTGATTTTGTTTAGGTTTGTTAATTCTTTGTTTATTTTTGTCTTTCATTCGTTTTTTTACATCTCGTTTTTACTTTGTTTTTCTTCTGTTTCTTTTTAGTTTTTCTCCTCACACACGCACACAGACACATACACACACACACACACACACACACACACACACACACACACACACACACACACACACACACACACACACACATACATACACACATACATACACACACGCAAACAAATAAATACATATATGTATAAACAAATAAATACATATATGCATAAACACACCCCATGCCCCCCCCCCCCGCCACATATCCCTCCACCCACATACACAACCCCCTCCCTCCACCCACTTCCCCTCCCCCTCCCGCCTCACGAACACACACACACGCGTAAGGTTAAGCAATCTGCGGGCGAGATCGGCAGAAATGAACGCCGAGGATACGGTATTAGTTTACAAAGAGATATTCCTGAACGAGGTTTTGGAGGAGATGCCCAGGTTTATGTCATGACTTATGCAAGGTCTCAGCGCCTTTGTTTAGCGAGGGATGATGACTTTTGCATGTTTGGATGACGTTGTTTTAGGTGATGTGATTGGTAGTTGTTGGGAGAGTGTTGGTGTTTCTTTGTTTGTTTGTTTTTTTGAGTAATTTTTTTTTGTATATTATCTGCTTGTGTTTTTTTTTAATTCATGAATGTCTATTTGGGTTGTCTTCGTTTTTATTTTAAGTATTCGTAGTGTATGTATGTATGTATGTATGTATATATATATATTTATTTTTTAATAGATATTTTGTGGTGATTGTTTCGCTTGTTACGTGACGCGGGGCATTATATATTCTCAAAGCTATTTATAGACAAAAAATTATCTTGCTTCCTCTTGGAATTCGGTGAAAGTTCGATTAATTTTAAATGCATGAAGGGTATGATGAATTGACTTGGGATAAAATGAGTCAGAAAGTAAAGAGAATCCAGCCATATCTTGCAATGATTTTTTTTTTTACTGAGGACGTAATATATATAATTCGGTACAAACAGAAAATGATGCATTCAGTTCATTTCCCGATGGTGTTGTGAATCTCTCTCTCTCTCTCTCTCTCTCTCTCTCTCTCTCTCTCTCTCTCTCTCTCTCTCTCTCTCTCTCTCTCTCTCTATCTCTCTCTCTTTCCCTTTCTCTCTCTCTCTCTCTCTCTCTCTCTCTCTCTCTCTCTCTCTCTCTCTCTCTCTCTCTCTCTCTCTCTCTCTCTCTCTCTCTCTCTCTCCCTTTCTCTCTCTCTCTCTCTCTCTCTCTCTCTCTCTCTCTCTCTCTCTCTCTCTCTCTCTCTCTCTCTCTCTCTCCTCTCTCTCTCTCTCCTCTCTCCTCTTTCTCTCCCCCTCTCTCTCTTTTTCTCTTTCCCTCTTTCCCCCTTCTCCCCTCCCCATCTCTTTCTCTCTTCTTCTTTCTTTCTTTCTTCCTTCGCCATTTTTTTTGCCGAAGGCTTAACCTGAAGGCGCAGTCCTCAGCCCCCAAGGCCAGGGCATATCAGAAGACCTTCGTTGCTGCCACGTATTA